ATGGGGCTCAGTCAGTGTGGGATGGCCAGACTCTGGGGCTTGGTTATCATGGGGTGGTCAGGCTGGGGGGCTCGTTCAGCCTGGGGCGGTCAGTCTGTGGGGGCTTGGTCAGCATGGGGTGGTCAGCCTAGGGGCTCAGTCAGTATGGGGTGGTCCATGGGGGGCTATGGTCAGTCTCAGGGGCTCAGTCAGCACGAGGTGGTCACTCTGGGGGACTCAGTCAGACTAGGCCCATCAGCCTGGGGGGGGCTCGGTCAGCATGTGGTGGTAGCCTCGGGGGGCTCAGTCAGTGTGGGCTGGTCCATGGGGGGGACTATGGTCAGTCTTGGGGGCTTGGTCAGCTTGAGGGGCTCGGTCAGCCTCGGCCCGTCAGCCTCGTGGGGAGGGAGCTTGGTCAGCCAAGGAGGAGAATCTGAGGACAGAAATGGCTTTTTCCTTTCCCATATTTTTACAGGTACCCATTAGTGGCACATGGCCTCTATGCTTACAATGTACCTGGACCGGACACCTCTCCACCCTCATCCTTCCACCCTCTGAAGGCTATGCCTTAATAAAAAATCTGCTGACAAAAGCTAATTGCAAATAATTAAAAATGTCAGTTGTGCCAGCTGAGTAACTCTATTCCAGTAAAATGCCCTTGAAAAAGGAAATACATTTGTGATCAATGGTAAGTCTAAACAAATACTTTAATCAAAAACCATATTAATATTCTAAGTAAAACAAAAGATAACTGTACAGGGAAGGAAGATGGCAGACACTATGTTAATCAGAGGAAAAAAGTCAGTGTCTCCAGAAATGAGATGTAGACACATCAAGGACACAATGAACAAGATTTTACAGACACTATGCGTGTGTAATCATGAGGAAATGTCACACAAACTGAATGAATGGAAGAAGAATTCTTTTGCCAGTCCCAGGGCTTGAATTCAGGGCCTGGGCACTGTCCGGGAGCTTCTTTTGCTCTAGTTCTCTACCACTTGAGCCACAGCCCCACATCTGCCTTTTTCTGAGTAGCTAATTGAAATTATTTCTATGGAGAAGTATAGAAAATCCAAGTCAATAGCTTTGTAGTATGATGCTTCTACTTTTACAAGTTGTTTTTAATTGCCAGGGAGTCACAGATGGAAAGAATGATTAACTTGTGATCTTTCTGCTTGCTTGGTGTCTGCTGGTTTTGGCATGGGGACCGCAGGAGAAGGGACAATGCTTATTTCTCCTTCAGTCACTGTGAGCAGTCCTACAAGGCTCATCTGGGACAGTCTGGCCTTTCACCGCAAGAGGGCAATCCAAACACAGAATGTCCTCAAGACTTGTTTGCTGCCACTTCCGGGAAAACAAAACAAACATAAACAAAAACCTCTTTTTAAAACACATACTCCAAAGAAACAGTTTTTAACATTTCCTCAAAGATTCTTTCGGGAACTTGCTGAATGCAGACACTTTATGCAGCTCTTTACTATGGAGTTAAGCAAGAACCTGCAGTTTAAAAAGTGACAGTTCCTGGAGTTTGTGTCAATAAAATGAGGGCTTCAGAATCCATAGCCTTCACCCTGCCAGTGGCTACTGAAAAGAACAGCTGCTTCAGCGAGGAGCAGTGTGGAGGCTTAGGGTGAAGAGGATCTTGTCTGTCCAACTACTTAAAGATAATAATGAAAAGAAGACAGAGATCTAAAGCTAGTCTTTATGTTCTCTGTGGCCAAGGATGTTTACTCTGATTCCTCTGGAATGCAATGAGAAAAATCGGCTGAAAATATTTAAGCAAAGTTAGCGACCAGAAATTAGAGAGTGTTCCTTTCCAATCGCTGAAGTTTCAAAGTCAACTGCACTTTTTGGCTTTTATATATGTATTCTTCTTCCTGTTTGTTTCTCTTAAGAACCAGGAGAGAAGAAACATACTGACATGGCTACACTCATAGTATTTTAGCCTTGAGAAAAATAAAGACACAAAAAGTCTCTTGTGAAAACTTGTATTGGTGGAGATATAGGCCTGAAGAGCAGGAAAAGTCTGTGAAGTATTAGACAGGCAATGATGAAATAGTCCTGCCGTGAATGAACGAGCTGTGAGGAGCTTCTAAAGCACATTCTCCCTAGTGACCACCCACCCAGCAGTGGGGTCCTGCCCTGGCCTGCTGAAACAGGCCTGTCCTGTCCATGTTCATTCTGGGAATGTCAAGAAAATGTCGGTCTCTGCTGATCCCCACCCACAATACTTTCAGATGTAGTTTATGTTAGCAAATTATAAATGATAAAATGTCTACTCATTTCATCTCATAATTTATATCAGGATGAGAAACTCTAAGATCTACCCTGCAGAGAATTAGAATGGAGGATAAAATCCCATCTAACATCTTAGCAACATTGCAGTTCTTTTCCTTCTTTTCCAGTCTTCTGTCTGAATGCAGTTATAAATAGTTGTAATTATAATTACTACTTGGAAACACTCTGGGGCAGCAATATATCTACATGGAAACAATGCCATACATTGCTATGCAGCATGTTTGATGGCAACATCACATTTTATCACCAAGTTTGTAACAATGTAAATCTTTCGGAGGCTACATCCATCATTCCTATATTACAAATAATATTCATGACTACAGGTGCTTTCTAAGCATAGCTGTAGGAACAGCATTAGTGGTTTAAGAAATTAAAACATTTTCTATAGCATGATAAATGTTTTTCCAAACTAAATAAAAATGATGAGCCAGAGTGGGGAGTCATGCAAGCGTAAATCCTGAATTCAAACACCAGGACCATCAAAAGAGAAGGAAGAAAGAGGGAGAAAAGGGAGAGGAAGAGGAAGAGGAGGAAGATCAGACATAAACATAAAATGTGGCTTAGTGGGTCAGGCACCAGGGGCTCACACCTGTAATCCTAGCTACTCAGGAAGCTGAGACCCGAGGATCACAGTTCAGAGCTAGCCCCTGCAGGAAAGTCTGTGAGACTCTGACCTCCAATTAACCACCAAAAAGCCAGAAGTGGAGCTACATGGGGTTCAAGGAGCAGAGCTCTTAAGTGAAAAAGTGTGACTTAGTGAAAAAGAGAAGATTAATTTTCTGGATCAGGTAAAATTATACATATCAATAGGAAAAATGGACAAGAGATTGTTTTCAAAGCAAAAATCAACACTTGAGTGATAAGATTTGATGAAAACATGTAAATTCTAAATGTTCACAGAAAATACGTCTGGCATAATTATAAACTTCAAGCAGCCAATAGAAACATTAACTAGGAAAGCTTTGAAAAGAAAGGTAGCTCGGCAGTGTGTCTTTTGTGATTATTAAGAGTGGTTTGGGGGACAGAGATGGTTTGGGGTCAGAAATTGCATCCAGAACAGTGTAGGTCATAGGAAGAATATTAAATCCTTCGTGTCAAAGCCCTGAAGACTCAGGGAAAATCATGTTGACATCTGACTTAGTTCAGCCCTTGAGATGATGTGACGTTGTTTTTAGAAAAGCAGTATCCTGTCTGTCCTCACTCTATCTGGGAAACTAAGTCAGCTAACATGTTCACTGTTATTTGTTAGCTGACAGCACAAAACTCACAGGTGACAGGGTGGGGGTGGATTTAATGTTCAAACACAGGAACAGAGCTCATTGTAACAGGCAAAAGGCACCCAGTCTGTTTCAATATTTTGCCAAAACTGATGATTAGTATATTAGGACCTTATTAAAAACATGTGCATTCATGTTGCTTCTAACTGTCCTCACAAGACTATGCCAGGTGTGCAAGTATGGGCAGGCACCACGCGGCATTCTGTGGTTAAAAGGCTCAATACAAACACACTCCCGGGGATGGTGACCCTACGAGCCCTGTGTGTATGACTGCTTTGCGTCACAAATGGGAGATGGGCCTTTCCATGATTACGTCCTTGAACATCTGGTTTACTGCCTCCCTTCATTCATTACCAAGACACTGGACAGTGGGTCAGTGCCTAGCGCTGCTCTCCTGAGAACTCTTCCTGCAGCTAATAACAAAACAGCAGCAGGATGGCTTTGAAGATCTCCTCCTGAGGCTTCCGGTGGGAGGAGCTTTGGTCCTTCTCCAGGGGTCGGAAGACCCTGTCACCCCAGGACTCGGGGCGCATGGATTCCCAGTGAGCAGACACTGGAAGAGCTGTGCACACTTATTCTTACCATGGCAAGAGAAGAGAGAAAGAAAACCAAGGCTTCCTTTCAATCAAACACCACAAAGCATACATGATGACAGATGGCCTGAAATTAATTCTCCATTCTCTCACAGGTTTTTGAATACTGTGACCTTTAAACCTATCATAATCATTAATTCATTTATGTTGGCCACAGACTGTACCTGTGCTTCACAACAGCCAGTCACAATCACGTGTTAAGCAGAGCCACAACCCAAGGCTCACAATAGAGGGGTCAGGGGAACAGAACCACTTCAGACTAAGCACGAAACAATTTACAACACTGGAAGTGCCAGCCAGAAACATGCTCCTTCGCATCCCTTTCCCTAGACTAGTTTCCCTCGGAAATAAAGCAATGACAGGATTTCATTTTTGAGGACTGTGTCACGCATGTGCCCGGCAAATGGTTAGGAACATTCTGAAATTGAGACCTTCCTAGATACACACAATAAAAGTCACTAAGAAAGACACTGGTGATTATGACCTAAGTTCCTGCTAAACTCACAAATTATCTGGGTCATTTATGTCTATCCAAGGGTTTACTTTGCCCACAGTAGTTAAAGCCTTCATTGTTTCTCAGTCATGGGTGCTACCTATCAGAGAAAGAGGAAAAGGGGGCTTAGTGCAGGTGGGCTTCTTTGAACTTTCGAGTTTCCACTTCTGCCTATGTCTGCAGTTGCACCATGCTGAAACTCTAGACAACCACTTCCAAATCAGGTCTGGGACTTTTAATTTCTTCCTCTTGTAGCAACAGCCAGGTCCCACCGTCCTTGGCTGTGGGACTCACTCACCAAGCCGTCTTCTCTGAAACACGCTTGCTTTCCTCAGTGCCCACTCCGCCAGGATGCCTTGCCGGTTCAGTGGAAATACTGAGCAGCTCACAAGAAAACTTGTGAAGGCAAATTCCAGCATGCTTTGTGTGCAGAGTTAGCTTTTGCTTTCTCTTTTGGAGAAGGGCTTGGGATACTTGGCTACTGTGGACCTCGGGCAGCACACATCTAGGAAGTGCTCGAGCTGTGTTGGACATCTTTCCAGCCCTGAGGGAACTGCCGTTGTAAACAACCAGCAGCCACACATGGATGTTACGCTGGACACACGTACATACATGTGCCACGCACAGCACATACACACAAGTATGTAGCACACCTATGTTCTTGTACAGCCTTACAAATACTAAGCCAGATGGTCACTTCGGCTTCCCAAAGCCATTCTGGCTGCGGGGAGGCTGAGAAGGCTGACAATGAGACCCGCCACCTACCTCCAGTCTGTCCGTGCGCATCAGCTTCTGTGCTGCGGCCGCCGCAGCCGCAGGCACTGGGACGCCAGGATTCCCTGTCACCAGCATGGGTGCCGTAGGCAGGATCTCGGCAGGAACCAGGCTCGGGGACACAGGGCCCAGGTAGGGATTAAAGGCCGCAGATGCATTGGTTGCTAAACTCGGTGCAACCGAAAACATTGGCTGAAAGTACAACAGAGTAGAATTTCACAGCAGGCCCAAGCCAGAGCTGATCTCTGCACAGCCTTCAGACCCATCCATCCACCCATCACTGGCCTCGGACCCCTCCCCCTTGCCCCCTGCCATGCGTTTTGCCTCTGTCGACCCCAGTTTAGCAGAAGGGGATTTTCATAAGTAAGGATTAATCAGACTTATATTTTCATGTTTGCTAAAATATAACAGATAAAGTATCAATTAGATCTTCCACAGTGATGTTGAAGTCTATAACACTTAGGATTTCCTTTTTAAGAAACAGACCAATGATCCAGTCTCCACCCCATCCCCTGTAATCCAAGGTCTTGTCTAGGAGGTCCATTTCATAACTGCTGAGCTGGATATACTTGACAGGTCTGTTGATGAGTGCCAGCAGGTTGTGGGTGCCCGTTATCTAAATAAATACGGTGGACTCTCAGGGTTCAAAGCATTTGTTATCAACACTCAGTGTAAACTGCTAATACATCTCTTGGGCGTGAGAACGGTGCTGATGAGGGAGCCGTCCCATGATCACTCGCTTTCTGGAGATGGTGAGTGCTGGCTAGCCTGTCACATCTGTGTGCCAGAGTGGATTTATCCCATGAGGGACAACAGGAGTTGAGAGGGGAAACAGAGCAGAACATTCCCAAAGCAATGCTACAGAACTGTTTTAGGAAATACATGTGATTAGCATCGAATAAATTACTACAAGACACAATTTCTGTCAGAAATGCTCTGAAGGATACATACTGACTCAATCTGTTGATAGAGATTTGTGTGTTATAAAACATGTTTGCTATTGAGTAGAATGAGTGTACCCTGAAATCTAAGAACACAATTTCCCGCCTTATTTTTGAGAATTGCAACCCTTAAACTTTAACAATATTTGTCTTTAAAATTAGAAAATAAACATCTCAGAACATAATGGATCTTGTGTGATAGGATACACGTTAACAATTTATTTTCTTTATCTGGTGGTAAGAAATAGCTCCACAGAACATTCTGGTATGGAGAGTTGACATTCGGTCAGAACGACAGAAGGGTGTGCCTGCTGGCACAGTGCATGCAGCTGTGGGACAAGGCTGTGCACCACGTAAGCTCCATGCTGCACACACCACAGGTGCCTGTGGACCACACAGTGCTACAAAGCAACGCTCCTCTAGTCTGGCTCTGATGCACATGGCCTACGGGACCTGGAGCATGGCTCACTAGAATAATCCTTCAAGCAGAGCCTACTAACAGGCAATAATCATTCCTCCAAATTGCGCTCTCGCTCTCTCTCTCTCTCTCTCTCTCTCTCTCTGTCAGTTGTGGGGCTTGAACTCTGGTCCTGGGCACTGTCCCTCAGCTCTTGAGCTCAAGGCGAGCACTCTACCGCTTAAGCCACAGCGCCACTTCCAGTTTTCTGGTGGTTTACTGGAGATAAGAGTCTCATGAACTTTCCTGCCCAGGCTGGCTTTGAACTGCCATCCTCAGCTCTCAGCCTCCTGAGTAGCTAGGATGACAGGTGTGAGCTACCAATACCCAGATGAATTGTTTTCTATACACTTGTTGTGTAAATTGCTTTTCTGACTTATTTCGCACAGCAAGTTTGAATTTGAAGCACTTGAGGGCAATTTCCCCAAGTACAGTGCAAAGCATCATTTAAAAACTGGAAACATCAACCATTTGGCCAGCATTATCAGACACTGCTCCCCATGAAGTACTGTGGTTTGCTGAATGGGCGGTCTGTAACACAAGCTCTATACCCTTAAACCTGAGCCTAGAAAAGTTGCAAGGAAAAGAATGAGTGTGATATTCCTTCAGTGCTTTTCAACTTCAGCAAAATTTCTGCACCACTTGTGTGGTACTGCTTTCTCCAAGAGCTCCCTGAGGGGTAGGTCCATGCTAAGGGTCAGAGGACACCGTGTGGGAATCAGATTGTGAGTTTGTGAACAGTGGCACCTGGGCCAGTCCTCTGTGCCCCGCCCTCCACTGTGGCTTCCTGAGTGGCAGTCTCAAAGACAGTCAGCAGGGCAGTGCTAGCCTCAAGCAGCCCCGTCTCCCCTGAGCACCACATGACGTGTGTAACTATGTGACCAGCCTAGGCGCTGCCCTCTACAGCTTGTGATCATGACTCACAGATATCTGTGCTGCAAGAAGGTGGAAGGTCATCTTCCCACAGCCTTTGGCAGAAGAGCATCCAGAGAGATAAACAAATGGTGGGCTTACCGATTCTGAGGTTGTTTGTGATCTTGTTTGTTTTAAAGGAGACATTTTAAAGGCGACATGCTGCTTCCATTAAGGTACTCAGGCTTCATTATAAATGAAAATATTATTCCCTTTCACATCATGACCCTAGTTAACTACACAAAAATGATTATTGCTAGTGGTTCCCATGTGTTGTGTGTGAGCTTTGTGCTCAGTGCTAAACCTGTGGTGTTGCGGTTAGTTTCTCCTCTAATATAAATCCTTAGAGTTGCTTCTCTCTTCTGCCTTTTTTTTTGTGTGGCGGGGGGAGAGGTGGTCATCAGGGAAAGGATCTATTTTAGTCTCTGTTCAATCTCCAGATCACAGAACAATGTGAGCTCAGCACAATGAAACTTCATTGAAGGAATGCTTGGACAGACAGATGCAGCTGGGTGGATGGACAGATGGATGCATAGATGGATGGACTGATGGGTAGCTGGCTGGCTGGACAGATGGATGGGTGGATGAGTGGATGCCTGAACAGATGGATGAGGCATAGGGACAGATGGATGCATAGATGGATGGACTGATGGGTGGGTGGCTGGCTGGCCAGATGGATGGATGGATGGATGGATGGATGGATGGATGGATGGATGGATGAGTGGATCTTAGACAGATGGATGAATGGGTGGATGGAAAGTGGATGCATGGGTGGATGGATGGACGGATGGGTAGATGGGTGGATGTTTCAATGGACAATGGATGCATGGATGGACAGATGGGTGCATGGACGGATGGATGGATGGCTGTGCATGGATGGAAGGCCAGATGGGTAGATGACTGGATGCTTGGATGGACAGATGGTCGATGGAGGGATGGATGGGTGGATGGACAGATGGGTGCATGGATGGATGACAGCCTGCAGGGAGATTATTAGACCTATTTTTCATATTAAAGGCTCACAAAGCACGTGAAGGTAGTAACCAGGGATTGGATGTGAGGCCTGACACACACAGGTATAAATGTCGAACTCCACATGGTTCTGAGATCAGTGGCTCTCGATGGACTAGGCACACATTACAATCACCAGGGTCCTTTGAATGTGTGACTGTCCTAGCCATCCCTACCCCAGGATCACCGACAAAAGCATCTGCCACAGGAGAGGTGGCAGTGCTTCACTAAAAGCTCCTGGTTGGTATTAATTCCATGTACTAGCTGCCCAGAAATGTGTTCACTTTTCTAGGGAGACATGCCCCTTATGATCCTCTTACTGTGAATGTGACTTTTCCTCTACAGAACAGGAAGCTTCCTCCTCAAGTCGCCCAGTCTGCCACCACCAACTATGAAGGGGCCTCTCCCACATGGGGCTCCCAGAAGTTCACATCGCAGCAGTGCAACATTCATCCCTGAGCCCCATGCTCAGAACCATTTCCTCCATACCCACTGGACTGAAGACTCCAGAGGACAAGCTGTGGACTTGATCAACACACACACACACACACAGAGACATATCTACAGACACAGACATACTTACAGACACAGACCCACAGACATACACATAGATGTACATATACAGATACACAGACATACACACACACAGACATACACACACACAGACATATCTACAGACAGACATAGCTACAGACACAGACATATCTACAGACACAGACATACTTTCAGACACAGACCCACAGACATACACAGACATAGGTGTACATACAGTGACATACATACATATACACAGACACATACCAATATACATACAGTCACACACACAGATATACATACAGATACTAACACAGACAGATATATAGATACACACACAATATATATACATACTCTATATGTAAGTATAAATCAAGTGGCCTACAAACAAGGTTTCTACAATTACCTAAATTCATATATTACGGATTTGCTAACTGCTTTTTTTTGGCTACACAAACTAGTCAATATATTAAATATGTTTTTTAGAACAGGTATTTGAATATTTGAAAGAGACCTAATTATATTTCCTCTTTGCCCCCAAATTTAACTTCAACCAGGAATATTTGAAAATTTAATTTCTATTTGCTTCACAATTTTTACATTTAATTTTATAAGTGTAGTCACTATGCAGTAAATGCTCAATATGTCAGAAGAGTTATTTATTTTAAAACTCTGTGAGACAGCATTTGTTTCATAAGTGTTTATAATTCTTAATAAAATGGAAGGATGTGACAAAATATGCCCATCAGTGTCCTTGAGATTATGGAACAGAAATTTTAAAAGTTAGATTTTATACATTTTCTATGTGTGTGAAGATCAAACCTACAAGCAGTAAAAAGAAAAGGCATTTTAAAGAATTCACAGCACATAAACAAGATATATAAAGCCGCTTCTAAGCACAGCTCTATGCCTAGCTAGAGCTGTAACTAGTCTCAATAAACAATTATTTTAATAAAGTCGAGAGTTACCAAGAAAATTCACATTACAGATTCTTCTTTTCTAAGAAGGGAGCAGGTGACAGCAATCAAATCAACAATGCTTTTAAAAACTTCCCTAGACTTATTAATGAATGGACAGATCACAAAAGTGTTTGCTTTAGCTTCAGATTCCTTTCATCCTTCAATATGTCACTGTGCAACAGCCAACCCTAAAGTGCCCTTTCTGGCCCTCGTTGGACAAAGCTGACAAAAAACAGAACCCCATTTGTCCACTGTTAGCAGTATGAGGAGTCACAGGACCCCAATGCAAACAGGATAAGTGAATGGATGGGTGGATGGATAGATGGGTGGATGGACAGATGGATAGATGGGTGGATGGACAGATGGGTAGATGGATAGGTGGATGGATGGGTGGATGGATGGATGGATGGATGGATGGATGGATGGATGGATGGATGGATGGATAGGTGGGTGGATGGATGGATGGATGGATTGGTGGATGGATGGATGGATGTGTGGATGGATTGGTGGATGGGTGGATGGATGGCAACGCAATAGTAAGATGAGGAATCATTTTACCAGACATTCTGGATGAAGTGCTGGTCTCCACCACAAGGTGGAGACACAGGAAAGCAAGCATGGATTCTAGGTGAAGTAAAGGTCCAGGAGTTCTTGGCAGCTTGCAAAGGATGACTTCAACAAGTGCTGCAGAACAGCAGTCAAGCTGGTCAAAGCAGCGAGGACCCTCTGGAGATCTGAGACTCTACCCGTGCATTTCAAAGTGTTACATGAGGACAGGTCTCAGCCAGAGGCTCAACCCAGGGAAGAAGTGCTGTCAGAAACCAGGCACAGCCAGCCCTCTGGATCCCAAGGAAAGGCAGCAGAGGCCTGCCGAGGGAGCTCTAGGGGTCAGAGCCACTTTTACAACCTCCGTGGTGCTAGGTCCTCTGAGGGGCTGGGTGAAGTGCCAGGACAGGAGAGGAATTCCTGGGGACTAAGGAAGCACATCAGGTGCCCCCTCAGGTGCAGTGAGGACGTCTACGCATGGACAGATTTCTCCTTTGAATGTGTATGACAAAGTAGCAGTGATATTAAGCAATGGCACTAATTTACCTTTCAGGTTCAGATCACTACAGTTTTCCTTTTTTATCTGGTGATACTGGAGTCCAATCTCAGTCCATGCCTCCCAGGAAGATACTCCACCCGAGTCAATCCCCGCCTCATGCTTCCATTATCTCCCAAGATCATTATGGTCAAGAGGGAAAAACACATCTGCTAGCATTTTCAGTAGAAATGACAGTAGAACTAATGCCAACAATTCTACAAATAAATACAATTATTTATTTCCAACTCATCTTTTTTCAGCTTGTATTATGATACTTACTGGCAGCATCCTGCAGGGGATGTCTTTACAACTTTCCACCCCCTATTGAAGAAGGTTGGAGTCTTGCACAAGTCACTCTAAACCTAGAGCTGCTGGGGGCCTGTCCCCATACACGATCCAAACATAAACACTGGGACCAGGCATAGCTGGATTCAAATCTTGGCCTGCCACTCCCCAGCTGTGCAACCAGACACATTACTTAACTCTCTGACTTTTAACTTTAACCTGGACATTACCTACTTTGTGGGATAGTTGTGAGAACAGAAAATATAAAAAGTACTGAAGTCAGTACATGCCCTTAAAAATGATATTTGTCTCAAATCTGATTCCTCCTTCTCACCCTTGGCTCGGTGCAGTTCACAATAACCTAAAACAAAATCTACGAAAGCAAAAAGCTCGCCCACAATTCCCTGCATTAACCAAGTCTTCCCAGCATAATGTTCTGAGGCCATAAGTTTATAGACCCTTATGAGATCCTCTCTAACGGGGCAGACAAGAATCCAGACCCGAGGACCTGACACTGGCTTCCCTTTGAAAGCATCAGCTGGTATGTGTTCATGACCGTGCTGCGTTCTGGGGTGCAGTATCCACGACTGGGGTGCATCTCTGCGACCAGCTTGTGTCTGGACCCACAGTATCATTTCTTGTTCTTCTACCAATCCTTTGGTCTTCTATGACCAAAGCCGTGAAGCTCTGCCGAGAACCTCTTCCCTCTAACTTAGCTTTTTGTTCATCAGGCAATCGCTGCTCTCTGCCACATGCCAAGCACAGTGCTGGATGCTGCCTCATCTGCTTACATTTCTGCCATTGCACCCTCCTGTGCCTGCCGCGGGTTTGAGGGAGGAGGGGAGAAATGGCCTGGGCCAAGGCAGCTAAGACAACGTCAGCAACTACACAAGAGGCCTCTTTGCTCTGTCCTCCCTCCATGGGTGCACCTGCTTTGCTCTGCCACTGCTTGGCCCTGAGTCAGGTCCCATGCATGCATGATCACCAGCACCATTCTGTGTGAGCAGCCTGGCTGCTTCTAGCTGAGAACTCCTGTCTGTAGATACATACCACCGTCTCAGCAAACACCCCAGGCACCCCAAGTCTTCGTGTGATCACACAGCTGACGGAGACAGCATCAGTGTCTCACGTGGGGTTTTGAAGGCAAATTTCCTGGGTAAAGCCTTCTCTACAGTTACTAAAAATCCCAAATACTTTAAAATCAAAATACTAAAATGACTTCTACACATTGTACAATTACTCTGAATAAAGTAAAATTTTAGACTGTCATCTCCGGACCCTGTAGCAGAAGGGTAATTCCACCTCCAATGCAGCCACACATTTGAGGAAACAGGAACAAAGCCTCAGTGTGCTGAAAGCTAAAATGCCACTCTTCTGTCTACACAGAGAACTTGTATAACAAAAGCATCAGAAAGCAGAGTTAGAGTCCGGTGGCTCTGAGTAACTGTGTACACAAGACGCCTCTGGTTTCTGCTGTGAGTGATAATGTGGGCAGCTTGGCCCGAGTCAGACCGAGGGCAAGATCAGAGGATGGTCCTGGATGACAGCTGGAAGGCGCTGGAGGCTGGGCATGGGCCCTGGCTGGGACCAGAGCCTGGTCAGGGTGGGACCATCCCCTGCAGGCCTCAAATCAAACCTGAAGATCTCCAGGTGCTCTGTGGCAATGCTATGTCAAGTTTCCATGGAAACAAGTCTCTCGCTCACAAGGGAGACCTACACGGACATGGCAGCTGACCTGCAACACTACCTGTGACTGTCAAGGGCAAGGATATTTATCCTCTACTTTCTTTTAGAAAGAATGACTACAACTAAAGACATTTAACCAAACAGGAAGTCCATGCTATTCGAACAGGACATGTAAAATGAGTAGATGTCATAATATACCTAAATCACATTTTTAACTGAGCCTCCAACAATGCAATAAAATAAAAGATGAGCTTAAAACAAAGAATTAATGATAACAGTCTCTCACCTATACTGCACAGCACTGATCACTGGAACATGAGGCTCCCTCCCACCTCAAAATGCAACCCCCTCCCCCCACACTTTTGGGAATGATGGTTGCGTTAAGTTCTCAGAGAGAATAATAATTGTGTTGAGTTCAGGTGCTAAAAATGCATAAGGAAAAAAGTTAGCACAAAGGTGACAATTAGCATGCCAGAAAAATGTCCTGACTGCATGATATTGTAATAAGCCATTAACACAATTTCCCTAATCATTGCAAGTTTATCAAGCATTTAAATTTAAATATATAACTACAACATCCACAATTAACCTAAAAAGCTTGTCTATACACATACACACCAAAATTCAAATAAAGAGTTACCCCATACACTGTGGTTTGTTTTGTTTTTGGTTTTTTTTTCTTTTACATTAACTTTATTCTCAGAACAACCTGTATGAATTAACAAACCCTCAGATTGCCAACTGTTGTAAGAATCATATCACTTCTTACATGTACCAAAATCTCATATCAGTGATGAGTTCTGGGTTGCAAAAGAGGATTTACTGTTTGCACCTGTCTGTAAGGCTTTGTTACAAATTAAACAAAGACACACACACAAGTGCTCTACCCCACACACTGTTAAGCAAACATTCAAGACCTATGACTACTCATAGCTTATCAAATTTATCTTTTTTAAGTGCTTGTAGTTTCTGCCCTCATATCTGCTCCCCTTGATGGGACTTCTAAGTCCGTTTTGATGAGCTGCCACAGTGGGAAGTTGCCCAGCATTTGTGACTTTAAAATAAATTTCAATATAAGTTGTAAAAGAATCATTAAGCCTCCTTTTCAAGAAAGACAACTAAAAGGATTCTTTTAAAAGAGGAGGACGTAGTGAACTATCCTCAAAGTTAATGTATATATGCCCATTAAAAAATTAATATTAACTTTAAAGGTAGCCTGAAAGGCATATGACTCTACTAATGATGTTGATGACTATTTTAAGTAATACCATGTTAACATCTGCAAAGTCTTAGGATGTATTTTGAAGAAAATTTTAGAGCATGGTGGTAATAATACAAATTGCTATAATGCAATAAACAATGCAAATAATGCAACAGCAATGGTTTGCTAGAAGCCGAGTGACCTCAAGTGTGAAGGTGGCTTTGGGACTGACTGATAATCATCCTCCCTGCAAAACACTGGACAATAGTCACTTCCCATCATCCCTCAGCACCAACCCAGACCCCTCGCGCTCCACCCCAGAGCAGTGGCCCAGAGTGAGCTTACCACTGGCTGCAGCGGTGCCCCTGGCATCATGGCATTCGCCAGCTGCATTTGCTGGGCCAACATGGCCATGTTCTTCTGCTGGATCAGGTTATTGCGCCCATTTATCTCCAATTGCGTTTTCAAGTGTGGGGGTGGATGAAGGTATTTGCAGTTCTCCCTGGAGCAACGGCCCTGGAGAGACAAAAGGAGCAAAATCATCTTAACAAGAATACAATCAGCCAACTGCAAAGCAAAGTAATCATGAAGGCAGGCCACCCAAATAAACCTGTGTTGGGCTTTAAACACACATCCAGAATACATAATACAGCCAACCAAATGCATCTAGCATGGTAAAGGATTAAGACATTTGCAAAAGTTTAAAATCCTTGAGAAGCTTCTTTATTTTAGTAATTTTTATTTAACCAGAATTCTAGATTCAAATTAAAAAACAAAAACAAAAAACCTCTACAAACTTCCAAGGTCGAACACTACAACAAAGAAAGTCAAATGAAGACTATCAGGCTCCGACCACATATCTTCCTGGTAAACTATTAAGAAATATTGTTGACAATACAACTTCCACTTTTCAGAGATACATCTAATTCCCATTTCCCAACAATGATAAAACAACCAGAAATGACTATATTTTCTCTCTAAATTGTTGACAATCTAATCTTTGAAGAATGAAAATGAGCTATTATAAAATAGTAAATACAAGTGAGCCTTCTTCTGGGGAGGCTTCTTCCATCAACTTTATTTCTTAAAGTCTGAGCATGCACCAATGTATATACTGTCAAATTGTATTGACAGTAATGGTCTCATCAGATACACTGACAACTTCTTTGACTAATAAATCTATCTAAAGCCACTTCTAAAGCAGAATATTCATTTTAAGTCATCAACCTCATTCCCTTTCTTTGATATTTTTTCCCTTTGGAAAATTCAAGATAGCTTAATTTTATTTATGATTGTAAACTGACTCCAAAAACTGATAAAACATGATAAAAATGTGGCAATTCTCATTCGAATACTCTGCTATGGCTCGTTAAGGGGCCTTGGCACACTATGATAATATGATAAGGGTGCTATCTGCTATTTTAACAGGCTTGACTTGAAACTGGTAGCAACAGGACACAAAGGCCCACACAGGTCCGTATAGGTCTCAAGACCTGAGGTAGAAAGCCTGGGCTAGAATTCAGTCTTCATGATTATGATTAAGTTTCTTGCTCAATGCTAGCACTCCTCCACTTGAGACAGATCTCTACTTCCAGCATTTTGCCGGTTAAATGGAGATATGAGTCATCAGAGTTGCCTGCCTAGTCTGGCTTCAAACATGGATCCTCAGCTCTCAGCCTCCTGAGTAGCTAGGACTACAGCCATGAACCTATAGGCATGCAACCCACTACCACAATTTAAATCACAGATCAAACAAAGTAAACACACAACATTGGCATGTTTGTAATAGGTATTTGTTCTAGCTATTAATAGGTCCAGAAATTGACCAACCTTTACGTATCTATGACTTATTTCCCATAAAATCACCTTGTTTTGATTTATACTGAGCTCACAGACACATTGTTATTAGCTTAAGCACCTCCACTCAAATAATCAGGAACAATTTAGAATCACAAGATAAAGCGCAAAGCACAGCTGGCCAAATAAATAAGTGTACAGATGACAATCTGTTGTGTTCAGGACTAGCCAGACAGGGCCCCTAGAAAAAACCGGCCACCATTTCAGCATAAACAACATGGCTGCAAGAGGATCTGCTTCTCAGTATCCCCATTTCACACTTCACACTGAAACTGTGGAGTAGGCAGGGGATTCACACTGCCCATTTCCACCCTTAGTAACTAATACAGAGACAGCCTGGGCCGGGACCAGGCCTTGCCCGAGACCACAAACCCGGTTCTAGCACCTTCCTTAAACAGAGCATCTCCCTGTTCCCAGATCCCAGAGCTGCTGGACCGGTAGGGAAAGGGAAGGCTGAGCTGGTGTCTGTGCACCACCATGTGGTCAGTGGAAGCTCAGGTCTCTGGGTTTCACTGAGTTTGCCACAGCTCCTCCAAGAGCAGTGCCATGGAACAACCTCCGACGCCCCGCCCACTTCACTCTATTGGACATTTACCTTTAAAAGGCTGCATGTCTAAAACTTGCTGTGGACGTCTCTCCCAGTTTGCAACCACTGACCACTGCCCTGGAAGCAGGGGTCTGAGTTAACATCTCAGGTAAGTGACAACGCAGAAAACACCTCAGAACACACTCATGTAAAGCCACATGAATGCACATTGACACGTGGAGGGAAAAAAAAATAGGCTAATCTTTCCAGGTGAGTACAGATAAACTTTGCTTCCTAGAAAGTTCAAAATGTTTATGATGGTGCCTGTACTTCTGAGTGACTGTGTCTCACAGATGAAAGGTCAGGGGTTAGCTGGAATGCATACCCTGTAGGGCAAACCGAGCGGCAGTCCTTCCTCTGAGAGCTAACATCAATGCCATGCTGACCGCCACCCATGTCACCGTCCTTTCCAGCACCACATCTCAGCAGGCATGTGTGCAATGAACTTGAGTATTCCTTAAGAGATGTGTCAAGGGCTGGGAAGGTGGCTCAGTAGTAGAGCACTTGCCTTGCATGCTTGAGGCCCTGGGTCCGATTCCTCAGTACCACGTAAGAAAAAAAGCCGGAAGTGGCGCTGTGGCTCAAGTGGTAGAGAGCTGCCTTGAGCTGAAGAGCTGAGGGACAGCGCCCAGGCCCAGAGTTCAGGCCCCACGACCGGACCCCCCGCAAAAAAAAGAGATGTGTCAAGGCGAACCCTCACCCTAACTGCTCTAGGGACAAGAAGAGATGAAAACTAAATACCACATGGTGATGCTTTTACGCAGAGGCCAGCAATTTAGAGACACAATAAAGCTTGCCGGGGAAAGAGAAGAAAAGGAAATGAGAAGCCTGCAGGTATGCAAGGGGGTAGAGACAATTGCTAAAGGAGAGCATGGTGAGGCCAAGTGACATCAGGGCTCCTCTGGTGACACTTTATCCGCCACACCTGCCAGACAGAGTACCACCCCACCAGACAGGGTATCACCCCACCAAAGTGCCACCCACCACTCCATCATACAAAGTAGCACCCCACCAGACAAAGTACCACCCCACCAAAGTTCCACCCCATCAGACAGGGTACCACCCCACCAAAGTGGCACCCATCACCCGACCAGATGAAGTACCACCCCAGTACATGCCTTGTGGTCTTGCTCTGTGCTTTGCTTGAGTTGACGGCAGGGAAAACTGATTCTCACAGAGCTGTCCAGCAGACATACTTTAGAAACCATTTGTGCTCAGTTCTCTCTAAGCCTTGCTCACACTAAATGGGATGAACTCAAAGCCTACCAGAGACATCAATGTTACACAAGTGATGTTTAAGAGAAAAGAAGATGCTTGCTAGAACTCTGGTCTAGGCCATACTCATCGTTGTATCTTTCTTCTACCCTTTCTTGGGAGAGGGCTGAAATCAGAGCCTCACACTCACTAGTCAAGATGCTCTCCCACTGGGTCCACATCGCTAGGCCTTCTGACATAACCTGTATCTGCATCTCTGAAGAATTCAGTAGAAGCTCTGGATAGGGTCTTATATGTCTACCCCCGGACCAGCTCTGGCCTACAATGCTCCTCCCTCAGGGTGGGCCCACAGGCACGAACCCAGACTGACCTTTGGTGGAGTGGGAGCTTTCCTGTGTTTTCACTCAGGCTGGCCTCCAACAGTAATGCTTCAGATCTCCACTTCCTGAGTAGGTGGAATTACAGAAGCAGGCTGCTATACTAGTAGTTCATTCATCTAATTTCTTTGTATTATCATTATCTTTACGTAGTTGTAAAGGGGTTTCAATCCACCCTACCTGTTCCATTTGTTTTCCATTATTTTTCTATGCCTTCAAAGTAAAGGTACATTGTCCAGCCTCAGTCCATGTCCCCCCTGAAGTCTTATCTCCACAAGAGTGCAAGGACAGAGACTGAAGACACAGTTCTAAAGCTACACGTGGTATGACCAGAAGGAAAGATACATGTTTATATGAATCTTCACCTTCAATAAAGCCTGTGCTGAAATGGTTGTGTATGTGTGTGCATGTGATGTAGTTACATATTATGTATACAGTAAGATATAAATTAGAATGAAACAGAATGAACCTACATGACAATTTAGGGAATAGAAAAGCCATTTCCTTGCTCTTTTTAGTACATAATGAAGTACTTGATAATGATTAAAAACAAAATGATGTCTAAGGGACCGAGTAAACATAATTTTAAAAAATCAAAACTGTGGCTGGGAATGTGTCTCAGTGGTAGAGTGCTTGCCTAGCATGCATAAAGCCCTGGGTTTGATTCCTCAGCACCACATAAGCAGAAAAAGCTGGAAGTGGTGCTGTGACTCAAGTGGTAGAGCGCTAGCCTTGAACTGAGGAAGCTCAGGGACAGTGGCCCCCCCTCAAGCACCAGGACTGGAAAAGGTAAATAAAATTGTAGCTGAAATTACTTGCCTTGCATGCTCGAGGCCCTGGGTTCGATTCCTCAGCACCACATAAGAAAAAATCCGGAAGTGGCACTGTGGCTCAAGTGGTAGAGGGCTAGCCTTGAGCTGAAGAGCTGAGGGACAGCGCCCAGGCCCAGAGTTCAGGCCCCATGACCGGACCCAAAAAAAAAAAAATTACAGAGTCATCTTCCATAGAGGAGTAGATCAGCAGGGTGCTGCACATGTGTCAGACCCTGAGCCCTTCTCAGCCCTTCCCTAACACCGAATTCCCAGGTAGGCTTTTACAATCAGAGCCATTTATTTTAACTGTTAAAATAAAACCCAAACTTCCATTGGGATAGATAAGATATGCAAACATTTTCAAAACACTTTCTGCAGATATTCACTGCTCATATCTTAGCCAAATTTTGGGCATGGAAATTTGATAGCTTCTTATTAAAAATTCTTACCATTTTCCCCCCAAATGATACAAATTTTGCCAAAAAAAGCAAACAGCAACATTAGCTACTCTGTATTATATTATTATGTAATACTAACATAGACACATACACTCACATTTTTTTCCTTTCTCCTCTTTTATTATGTTTAAATAGTTGTCATTGTGAATACATCTTGACTACTGTCACCCCTTTGTAAGCTACAATATCTAGTGGTAGGAAATATATGGCA